GACATTAACGAGACATTTCCGCCACACTTCCAATGTTTAAATTTCAACATTTCAACATACAAATGCGTATGTATAGACATAACACCACCCGTATACATACATGTGTCATAGCCGAAACTACTCACATATGTTTATATATGTATGAGTCCCGACGGACGACCAAGTATGTATATGTGTCTGCATACATCGATGTTTGCGTTAGTACGATGAATGACAAAACGACGAAATTTCCCCCACCACTTCCACAATAAAACCAATACACGCAATCTACATAAACCCAAATTTTTTAAAACATTAATCAGTTTGTCTGACGATCGCTAAAGCGTGAAACCCAGGGTCACAAACTCACATCTATCCAACCAGATATGTTAGCTCTATCTCTGATATTGAGCGCTTTCTAATAAGTACCGCGCATATAATATATAAATAATTATACATATTTATATTTATTTATATTTATATACATTTTTCACATATATATATATATATATATATTTCCGACAGTTTCAAACGTTATTTTGTGGATAATCATGTTTGAACAGACGGGATGTTTCTTTTTATATGGTGTGAATTACATCTATCGACCTGCGCATTCCAGAGACTCAATAAAGAAAGTGTACTCTTGTGTTCGAACCTGCGGAGTCTGATGTTGCCTTAAGCCTTTGTATGTATTTGTGTGCGTGTGTGTCTGTGTGTATGCGGTTAAAGTTCATATAAATGTATATTGTTCATTCGTGTTTATAATTCGGAAAGTTTGAACATACTTTTCATCGTATTTCTTAAGAAAGGGTTGGTTTTCTCCACACTAATGTATGCCATTATCAGTCTACAGGAAAATACACGTACATACATATTTGCAATTCTAAGCGATGGTCTTGCTCTTAGTGAGGATGATGACAATCGTATAAGTACAAATAATATTGACTTTTCTTTCTTACTTTTTCTTCTCATTCCTGCCGTAAAGTTATAATCTATTCAAGCTAACACCTGTGATAAAATATTCAATGGTTTACATCCACACAAAACACATGCGACATGGTTTGACTTGGAAATGTCTTCAACCACCAACGTGGACACTTAGTGTTTAAATTACGCTCCCCTGCAATTCGTCTCTTCGAGCAACCCGACCTCTCTTTTAAGAACGTTAAACCCGATGTTTGACCCTTTGTCTGTAAGGGTAATTTTCACACCTGTTTACGGCCGAAATTTAAAACCGGGCCCCCGAAAAGCACCTGTAAGAGGAAAATGAAAGTGGCCGGAGTAGCGAGGTTCGCTTTTCGGAGCGTTTATGTACACATTGGTTCGTTTGATTTGCTTGTTTCAGTCTTTTGTTTGGTGTTGGAGGAAGATATCTGAAAGAAAGAAAGAAAAAAAGACGATTATTTAGAAAATCACACACACACACACACACACACACACATATATATAATTGTGCATTTGGGCAGCATTCTCTCTTTTATACACGTTATATTGAAGACGACTGACAAGGTGCTGTGATTGACTTTTTATTTATTTTTTTCTTGTGTTTGTATAAGTGTTTTATAAGCAAGATGAATTTTCTCTTAGAAACACTATAAAGAAATACACAATTACAGTCGACAAGTACAAAAATATACCAAAAATATACCTCCAAAAAATTTAAAATCTTTCTTGAAGCTTTTATCTTAGTTTTAATTCCAACCTAATAGATTAAATTTACTATTTCCAGTACTTTAATGTATTTCAAACCGGATTTAAATTGATTGAGATTTTTTTAATGATCATCAGTAAAATCAATAAAATCGTCCATATTGACAAATCCGTCAATTCAACGTAATTCTCTTTATTAAAAAGTCTTTCAAAAATGAAATATACTTTTCTAAAACGTTATTTGAAAAAAAAATAGCTGCTTTAAAGTTTAATTAATCTGAACTGAAACAAATATGACTTACTTTTAGTTTAAAATATCGCAGAAAATCATTTTTTAAAACCGAGGTGGGCGTTTTTATGATGGGTCGACACATTTATCGAGAACCTGATCTATGGCTAATTTATGTAAGGGGGAGATAATTGTAATAGAATTAAATGACGAATACAATGTAAACATTTTTTTTATATAATTTTTCAAATATTTTAAGCATTCCAATATTTTATTGAATTTTAAGCTTCATCTTTACGATTTTCTTGTTGGGGAAATGTTAGAAAACTACGAATGCGTTTAGACATCTGAAGGAGACCGGAGGGTTCAATTGTCGAAACGTTGTGAAGAAATATGAGAGCAGTAGTCAAAGATTAAACAATATAAATGGGCAATTTTAATAAACATAAATTTAACAGGATGTGATTAGTTTATTTCTAAGAGAGTAATTCTTTAAGGCTCCATCGTTTTTATATGACACACCACAATCTCTACTCTTACGTTCACAGCATTCTTATTTTAGAGGAACGAATGTGGGATATTTGGGTACTTAGGTGTATATGGTATATTTTGTCTTTTTCCTGTGTACATTGAAAATATTATTATCTCCTTTTATATAGTATGCGTGTACACACGTTCAGAACATAAATAAATGCCATAAATATTAATATAAATGCATTCGTCACCCGTCATTGTAGGCTACAAATTTATTTCAATGTAATATGGCGGATTTCTGTGTCTGTCATGAGTTTTATTCTCGTTGTTTTTTTTTATTCTTCTTTATGAATGGCGCCATTATATCAAGTATAAGTTATTTGCCTATTTTCGATTTGAACTCATTGTGTTAGGTGGTCCCAGATAGGCAAAACGTTTTTCCTGTGTTTTTCTTTAGTGATATAGAATAGGTGAAAGGAGTAAAAACAGAAAAAAAAGGGCAATTTTCAAAAGAGTCTGTCCTTCAAAGGACAATGATCAGTTCATATGTTTAAAGATCTCTAACTAAACTACGTTGTTTTTATTTTTACTCATTTCATTTACTTGTTTGACATTATTTCCCGTGCAAGAGTCGAGCTGTGTCAGTTGGCTCGCATACATCAAACATAACATTTCATTTACTTCCTGTCGACTTTTTTTTTTTTTTTGTAAATACCTTCATATATTTATTATATGGGACACTTTATTATTATTATTGACGTATTCATTGGAAATTCTGTTCCTGGGATAGCAATTTTCCAAGCATAGCTTAGATGTGTCACAAGGCCGAAAGTAAGGAGCACCCAGTGAGGATTGAACTCACTACTCAGTCGTAATCGTTCTAGTGAGACAAGCTTGCTAACCATTACACCACCTCGAAGTGCCCCTTCTGTTCTTGGGATATGGTACCAGCAAGACTCCCCGCAACTCAAGAACATTTCAGATAATCCTCACAAATTGAATGGTGACATTTTTCTGGAGATCTTTGTCTCAATTTCAAATCTCCATAAGCGCCTTTTCATTTTTCTAGGCCCTGAAGCGCATCCATTACTATAGGAATTACTTCTTCATTCATGTTTTATAGCTTCTTCAATTCTTTAGACAAGTCCTGGTATATTTCTTTCTTTCTTTCTTTCTTTCTTTCTTTCTTTCTTTCTTTATTTATTTATTTATTTATTTATTTATTTATTTCTTCTTCTTCTTCTTCTTCTTCTTTTTCTTCTTCTTCTTCTTCTTCTTATTATTATTATTATGCGTGGTATCATCTTATCAGAGAATAACATTAAGTGCCAAATCACCAATTCCCCTTCGGGGTAGTATGGATAAAAAGAGTGCAATAATAATAATAATAACAATAGCAACAACAACAACAATAATAATAATAATAAATATAATTATTATTATTATTATTATTATTATTATTATTATTATTATTATTATTATTATCATCAAAGGGTGAGAGAGCAGTAGGCTAAAAGAGGGCCGCTGGGGTAAAAATATACAAAGCCCACTATACGTATTATGACACCCAATCTGATTGGACTATACCAAGAACATACATTACATATGAGAATCTGTGGCAGGATTTGATATAAGCAGTACATAAGCTTGCAGGTGGGGCCCAGTCAGATATGCATTTATTATTATTAATAATTTTTGTCGCCCATTGATATTGTCTTTAATACACAATTTGATTTTTTCTTATTTCAAATGTCATTTACTCTGGACTGGACGATTAGTTTCTTTTTCAGCTCTCAATTTCTAGTTTGTACTCTGATATCATGTACCATTCTGTTGCATAGTCAGATAGCAGTCATTTGCGCAATACTCAGTAAATCATCTTCCCTGCCCAGTCATGTCTACTTTTTATAATTCTTAAATCTTAATTCTAAATTTACTGAGTTTGCTTTTCATATGATAGATGATTTCATCTCTTTAACCACATCATCGCCAATTACTATTTTGACAGGCCCTGTCTGTTTAGCATTTGTATAATTCATTCTAAAAGAATTGTTCTTGGACATCAGTGATTCCTGTTTTCCTGATCTGACGTTCAATACAATCATTTATAAATTCCTTTACTCGAAACCTTGTGGTAAACGAAGGTTTTTTTCTTGGAAAGTTATTGAGCATTGAGAGAATTTTTCTGAGTATGTGAGCGAAGAGTACAATATTTTGTATCTCAAATAGCGATGGCTTTCCTGAGGGTTTTCTAATATATACAACAGTATTACTTTAAATAATTCCCAGTGCTCCTATTATTATTATTAGTATAGTGGCACATTATTGAGATTTCCTTTTCCAGGTTTTTATATTTTGAATGTTTGTGAAATTCATTTGCTGAGATGTTTTGTTTTCAGACAGGATGACGATGTCTACAAAATAGCACTTATGGTTTTCTTTAAGTATTTTTTGTTATTATATCTTCGGAGAAGGAAATGGTGATTTCAGGGCCCTACTTCACCAGCGGTAGATTGTGAGTTATCCTTCTAGATATTATTCCGCAAAGTGAATTGTTACGTTTTTGCGCCAGTGGTATCGTGTGTGTTTTTCAATTGAGGCCAAGTGACAGCAAGTTTCCCCAATATTCAAGCGCATACCTCAGTATTTTGCTTATTTCAAAGGTTTTCGGCCATATCAGTTCTCGTACGACCACCGAAGTTAAGAAACGTAGAACTTGGTCAGTATCTAGATGGGTGGCCTCTTGGGAATACCAGGTCCTGCAAGCATGGATGTGTGAGTGGTGTAATGAATAACGCCTCGGAATTCAGAATTTGGAGAGCCGATTTTCAATTCCATTTGGGTTCCTTACATTCGCGCAAATACCCTTAGGGAACCTATGAACACACCTCTTTCCCCCAACTATGGATTAATTAGTAAAACGTGTATCAGTAAAAATCATTATTCTCACAAAACAATCCTTATAATCTAAAAATATTTTTCGGCTTTAAATAACTCAAAAACGATAAACCGTAAAAAAAAAAACAACAAAAAAAAAACAATTAAAATAAAATTGTTTATTTCAACGGTGCTTCGCAAAGGTGTGTCGACATTCATCGACGCTTGATGAATGTTTATATAAACCCAACAGTGCATATGAGCACAGTAAACGGTAGGCAATGGGTTTTAGCAGTGTCGACAGCAGCGTGTTTGACTAGGCTCTAATCTTCTCTGCTGCCTATGTGTCAACTTATGGAATGAAGATCGACTCCATTAACGAATCTGCGATGATGATGTCTATTTAGAAAAGTAGCATTTTGCAGCTGTGAACTTGCTCTATCCGAGGGTGTTACTGTGCTCCATTTATTTATTTTAGTTTGTGTGCAAATAAATTAAAGGCATTACTTTTAGAGTGTCATTTGTATTTATATTATTATTATTATTATTATTATTATATATTATCATAGATTGGTCCGGTTCACATACCTCCTCAGTCTTTTTAACATAAGTAGAGGTTTATCCCTTGTTAATGTATAGGATTGGGTTTCCGATACCTTCTATAGTCAACTTCAACTTTATGCTTCTAACATCTCCATCTAAACTCAGGAATTTTATTTGCTATTTAGCCACTATGTTTCTCCCCTTACAAAGGGTAGATTAGTTTTTCCTATCGTCCGGTTCACACTCCTCCCTGGTCTTTTGAACTCGAGTAGCGGTTTATCCGTTGGGGTATTCCAAATTCTATTTTAATTCTATACTTCTAACGTCTCCGCCTAAACTCTGGAATTTTATTTAGTATTTAGTTACATTGTTTCTCCCCTCAATAGTAATAGATAGGGTTACTATACCGTCCGGTTCACTCTCCTCCACAGTATATTTATCCCTAATTTCCTGGTTAGGATTGGGTTTTCGGTTCCTTCTAATGTTTTTCCTTCTTTTTCATATCCAGTAGCCCCCTTGCATTTTAGTGGTATTATTGCCTTTCTTGGAGTAAAATGATTAAAAAAAAAAAAAAAAAAAAACTATCTGTTTAAAACGAAAGAAAAATAGGCCTACAGTGGAAATGGAGTTTGTATTACCTCCGAAACTATCAACAGAAACGTGCATAGGAAAATTAAATAAGCAGAAGGCATGAACGCACATAGGGAACATTGATAAATGAATGGTTGGAAAAGTTACACGGAAATGAATGGTAGTTCTTTTTAACAGACGGAAAGTTTTGTGGCAGGACATGAGAAAATAACAAGTAAAAAAATGGAGTGGGAGGAATTTGTAAAATTGTAAAGAAGAAAAGAAAAAAACATGGGAGAAAAAAAAAAGACAAATATTCAAGTTACCATGGAAACGGGTTACGAAAACTTTTATAAAAATTCTTTCATTCAACTTTTTGTTCTTTCTCTTGTTACGCTTTTCCACCTAAGATAAAAGTGTATCTGGTCGAGACCCGAACCTTTTCTGACCGAAAGACCTATATAATATTACGCTGTAAGGAATTTAAGAAGGCAACATAAAAATGGAGATGCAAATTAGGTTGCAAAAGAAGAGGGGTAGTCAGTTAAAAAGCCACGGAAATACAAAAAACATGTGAAAGGAAAAAAATAAACTTATATACAAGATGGACAAAGGCATGAAGACGAAAAAGAGACAGTTTTTTTTTAGCACGAGTATTTTTCATACTAACTTTCACCCAGTACAGAGCCCAGAAGTAATTGTAGTGTGTGTCTCACCACAGATCATGCCAGAATTGTCTCTGCACTCAATGTCGCATCAGATCATCATGGTAAGTCAAATGCAAGTTGAGAGGCGGTTTCTTTAACACACCTGGGCTGTGCACGGCAGTCCCTTGATTTTTGTAATTCTGTCGTCGGGTTTCGATTTTTTATTTGGATTTCAAAAATCTTCCAGCCTTTGTGTAAATGTATTCGGAATTGGCTCGTGTACTCCAGTAATTATGGGTACACTCGTCACCGTTTATGTTCCACATTATTTTTAATTCTCTTACAAGGTCACGATATCTATCTATCTATCTATCTATCTATCTATCTATCTATCTATCTATCTATCTATCTTTTTAACCTTTTCTGGTGTCTTTATGAGGTCTTTCGGGACAGTGACACCATCGTCATTACTTTCATTGTTTTGCACTCGACGGACATTTTTTTTTCTTTCCACGAACAGGATCTGCCGCCTCTATCAGGAAATCAAAGTTCAGTATAACACCCCCTCAATAACCTCTGGATACTCTCCTTAGAATTTGTTTTACTTACTAATACTATAGTCTAATTGAATTCAATGCAGGCTCGGATTTCCAATTTGCAAGACACTTCAGGACTCTTCCAAGCGTGCCAGTAATGATGGGTACAAAGGACGCGTTCAAATTTCATAATCTATTGCAGCTTTTCTCTCTTTTTCAGTTTCACACCGTGATCTGCTGGATCAGCGATATTCGTTGAAGAACGGAAAGAAAAACGAAACAAGAAAAAAAAATAAATAAAAAGAGATAAAGAAGAAACTAAGTGAGGAATAATCTTTAAGAAAGAAAGATGAATAAAATGAAATAACACAAGAAATAAGTACGAAAGAAAGAGGCAGCGAAAGAAATAAAGAAGTATGACTAAGAAAGAAAGAAATATGAATAGAAAGAAAAAAATAAGAAGAAACAAGAAAGAAAGAAACAATAAACAGAAAGAAGTAAGAAAAGAAAGAAAGAAAGAAAGAAAAGAAAGAAAGAAAGAAAAGAAAGAAAAGAAAGAAAGAGGTGCCGACGGAAAGAACTGCGTATAAGAAAAAGAAAGGAACATGAATAGAGAGAAAAAATAAGAATGAACAAGAAAGAAAGAAAGAAAGAAAGAAAGAGTGAATGAATGAATGAATGAATAGAAAGTATGTCTATATTTCTGAGATGAGGTATCATGTACAGTATTTACATTAGTCGGACTATTGTCCTCATCTTTGTCGCCATATTTGTCACAACGTTTCGGCCGTTGTACGCTCCGGCCTTCTTCAGGTGGTTGGAATTTCGAACTGAACCCTTTATTTCGATCACTGGGGTAGACTGTTCTAATTCCACGTGCCATGTTTGATGGATGTCAGTTATCAGTTATCTCAAGGACACATGGCACAGTGGATAAAGGCGTTGGTTAGATCCAGTGACAGACCCAAAGAAGGTGAGTTCAATTCCTGGTTAAGGCAGTGGAGAACTTTCAGAGGGAAAATTAGCAGGAGATAACTGATAACTGACATCCATCAAACATGGCACGTGGAATTAGAACAGTCTACCCCAGTGATCGAAATAAAGGGTTCAGTTCGAAATTCCAACCACCTGAAGAAGGCCGGAGCGTACAACGGCCGAAACGTTGTGACAAATATGGCGACAAAGATGAGGACAATAATCCGACTAATGTAAATACTGAATAGAAAGTAGTACGAAAAGAAAGTAAGAAAGAAAAAAAGAGGTACTGACGGAAAGAAGAGTCATAAGAAAAAGAAAGAAAGAAATATGAATAGAAAGAGGGAATAAAAAGAAAGAAGAGAAATATGTATGAAAAGAAAGAATGAATAAAATATGAATAGAAAGAAAAACATGAAAGAGAGAAAGAAGGAACATCAGAAAGAAAGAAGAAAGAAAGAAAAAAGCATGCATAAGAAAAAGAAAGAAAGAAATATGAATAGAAAGAAAGAATAAGAAAAAGTACGAAAGAAAGAAAGAGATACTAACAAAAAGAAAGAAAGAAGCGAAAATAAGAAAAAAAAATGAATACAAAACAAGAATATAAAAGCAAGTACAACGGAGAAAGTATGAGGAGAAAAAAATTATGAACGTGAAGAAAGGTGTATATAAAGAAAGAAAGATTAAAAGAAAGAAGTATGAAAAGATAGAAAAAGAAGAAAGAAAGAACGGAAAAATGAAAGCGGAAAGAAAGCAATACGCAAGAAACTGAAAATTGTTAATATTTTGAAGACAAATTCATAATTTACGTCATTATTTTAAATGTTTTTTTCCCTGTTATTAGAACAAAATAATTTTAGTTTATTTATTAAAAATGCATTCATCATCCTTTACCTGCGTATGTTCACATTCAACGTGTGTGCATATATATATATATATATATATATATATATATATATATATATATATATATATATATGTATACACACGCGTACACACACACACATATATATATATATATATATGTGTGTGTGTGTGTGTGTGTGTGTGTGTGTGTGTGTATGTATGTATGTATGCTCCTGAAAAATTCTCTGGGGAAGGAAGTGTGAGTTTGTAAACAGTGACTATTACTGCAAATAATGCAAGACTCTTGGTAAACCGAATCGAGTTCTCTCGGTCCCTGTGTGTTTATCTAAAATAAATACGCTTAAATTCACCTTCATCCCTGCCGTGCGCCAACGGCTTAGGAGTAGAATCTCCGAATGACGCCACTTCAGCCGAGTTTCGATCCTAGCTAGAGGCAACCGGACATCTAACAACACCGATGAGCTGTAATACAGCGAACAGTCTGTCTGTGGATGACTATATATATATATATATATATATGTATATATATATATATGTGTGTGTGCGTGTGTGTGTGAAGAGAGAATGTTGTGCCCCATTTCCTCAATTCACTGCTATCTTCCTTTCCATTTTTTCCCATGTCACATACGACATTCCGAGGGAAAGCGTAAAGAGATTAAAAGAGTTGAGGATAAAGATTGAACTCAGAAAAAGAAACAAGAAAAGAAAAGAAAACAAAAACAGATAAATTAAAAGAGAACTTTATGTTTAT